GAGCACACATCCCTGGGGGGCACCTGTGCTTATTGTCCGGGTGCTGGATGTGGTTTTCCCCAGCCTCACTTGCTGCTCCCTGTCTATCAGAAAGCTAGTTATCCACTGACAGGTGGGGGCAGGCACAGTGAGCTGGGTCAGTTTGGAGTGGAGGATGTCCAGGATGATGGTGTTGAATGCTGAGCTGAAGTCCACAAAGAGGGCCCGTGCATACATCCCTGGGGAGTCGAGGTGTTGCAGGATGTAATGCAGTGCCATGTTGACTGCATCGTCCACTGACCTGTTTGCCCAGTAGCCAAACTGCAGGGGGTCAACAATGTACTTCAGGTGGGCCAACACTAGTCTTTCAAAGCTCTTCATAACTACAGATGTCAGGGCAACAGGTCTGTAGTCGTTCAGTCCACTGATGGAGGTTTTCTTGGGGACTGGAATGATGGTGGAGCGTTTGAAGCAGGAGGGGACTTCACACAGCTCCAATGACCTGTTGAAGATAAGTGTGAAGATGGGGGCCAGCTGATCAGTGCATACTTTCAGGGAGGAAGGGGTCACACCATCTGGGCCTGGTGCCTTTCTGATCTTTTGTCTTGTAAAGAAGCCATGCACATCCTTTTCACAGATCATTAGAGGTGGGGGGCTGGAGGGAAAGGTGGTGATTGTTGGGGGAGCAGCTGCTGGGTCTGAGGTGGGGAGGATGAGGGGAGAGTGTTGATTGTCAAACCTGCAGTAGAATACATTCAGGTTGTCTGCCAGTTGACGGTCCTCCACAGCAGGGGATCACCCCCTTGGATGCTTTACCCTTTTATTGATTTTATAAATTAATCATGGTCAATATGATTTGGCTTTTTGACAAAAAAAATGCATAAAAACTCTTTAATGTCAAAGTGAAAACAGGTTTCTACAAAGTAATGTCAATTAAATAAAAATATGTAATATGAAATAAGTGATTGCATAAATATTCACCCCCTTCAAGTCAATATTTAGTAGATGCACCTTTGGCTGCAATCACAGCACTGGGTCTGTGTGGATAAGTCTCAGTCAGGCTTGCACATTGGATACTGCAATTTCACTCCATTCTCCATTCCTTTGCAAAACCGCTCAAGCTCTGCTAAGTTGCATGGGGATTGTGCATGAACTGGCCTTCTCAAGTCCAGTCACAAATTCTCTATTGGATTGAGGTCTGGGCTTTGACTCCAGAACACTTATTGTTGTCTTTAAACTATTTCTGTGTAGCTTTTGCTGTATGCTTCAGGTCATTGTCTTGGTGGAAAATTATTCTTCTCCCAAACCATAGTTCTCTTGCAGACTGAATAAGATTGTCCTCCAGGATTTTCCTATATTTTGCTGCATTCATTTTATCCTCTACCTTTACAAGCCTTCCAGGGCCGGCTGCCGAGAAGCATCCCTACAGTATGATGCTGCCACCACCATGCTTCACAGTGTGGATGGTGCCTTTGTGGCAGTGTTTGGTGTCCGCTAAGCATCATGTCTTGTCTGATTGCCAAAAAGCACCATTTTGGTCTCATCAGATCAAAGAACGTTCTTCCATTTGACCCTGGAGTCTCCCACATGCCTTTTGGTGAACTCCAGTGAGATTTAATATGAGTTTCTTCAACAGTGGCTTTCTCTTTGCCACTCTCCATAAAGCTTTGGCTGGGGACGAACCCCCCGGGCAACAGTTGTTGTATGCAGAGTCTCTCCCATCTCAGCTGCTGAAGCTTGTAACTCCTTCAGAGTAGTCGTAGGTGTCTTGGTGGCCACGCTCGCTAGTCTCCTTCTTGCACAGTCACTCAGTTTGTGAGGACAGCCTGATCTAGATAGATATAGACATGTGTATAGACATGGATTTAACTGAACTCTGAGGAATGTTCAGTGCCTTGCAAAGTTTTTTGTATCCATCCCCTGATTTAAACTTTTCAATAACCTTTTCTCTGAGTTGCTTGGAGTGTTTGTTTGTCTTCATGGTGTAATGGTAGCCAGGAATACTGATTAGCCAGTGACTGGACCTTCCAGACGTTATACTACAATCACTTGAGACACATTCACTGCACTCAGGTGATCCCATTTCACCAATTGTGAGACTACTAGCACCAGTTGGCTGGACCTCTGTTAAATTTGGGCAGTCACTTTAAAGGTGAATATTTATGCACTCACTTATTTCCCATTACATATTTGTATTTAATTGACATTACTTTATAGAAACCTGTTTTCACTTTGACATTAAATAGGTTTTTTTTAATTTTTTTTGTCAAAAAAGCCAAATTATATTGAGCATGATTGATTTATAAAATCAATCAAAGGGTAAAACATCCCAGAGGGTGAATACTTTTTATTGGCAATGTATCATATATTTTGATGCAAAAAGAAGAATAAAGAATAAATTTTATTTATAAAGCACTTTTCAAAACATAATTGCACAGCACTTTACTTGGGAAAATCAATATAAAACTATTCAGCACTATGATTAAAATCAGGCAAATAAAAGTACCCAAGATAAAAAAAAGAATATAGCACAATAAAATAAGACAAGAAAGAACACATAAAGCACATTAGAAGAAAAAGGAAAACCTAGCGGTGACATTATTTTGGTATGCTAGTTGAATGACAATTGAGGTTTATTACACCTTAGTCTTATTTTCATAGTTTTGGCCTTTATTTCAGTTGAGTACATGGCAATGACATGAGTAATATAGATAGCTACATTTTTACAAAATGAAATTTTACCATTTGCCTTCAGTGTTCCCTCTAAATATGCAAAGTTTGTCTAACTTGGGTCTTCTATGATTGGCTGACTGCTGGTGTTTCTTGTACTGTCAGACTTCTTTGTAGCATTATCTTTATCTCCCAGATCCCAGCAATTAACTCAGTACAATTTAACTGATAAGAATGATGTCCAAAACTATAACTATTAGACCCAAACCAGAGTTATCCTTTAATTAGCATAACTGGAAATAGTTACAGCAATTTAGACTCTCAAGGGAAGTTAGCATTTTTCTTTTTTTGCTGTTATCATCTCTGTCTCTCAGTGAAAGAATGTGAAACGACCACCACCCGTGTGCTTTTACATGTGCATAATAGACCATTACATACAGTATAAATGAACCAGGGACTGTCTTATCAAAACAATTTGCTCCAGAGCACCACAGGTGGTCCAAAACTCCATGGGAAGCTTTTAATCTCATACCCATCATTTCCATCTCAAGTAAACACTGATTATTATTTGGTCCTGACTTTTATTACTCTCCAGTTACAGTTTATGGGAAGACGAAAGTGGCAGTGAATGACATTATGGAATATTCTGTTATCTCATGGCAGCAAAGAAATGTTTGTGTTTTTAATATTTAATATGACCCAGCCTTAAAGCCTCAAGCCTCATGTTGTCCTTGGCTAAGAAAACCTCCAGGTCACTAGACCAGCTGCTTCTCAGCTCTTTTTTTAAGGTCTTTGGGAAGCTCTGGGCACCACATAGTAAATAACGGCTATTGCAGTCAGGGCAAGGGACTGTGAACCTGTGACCGTGTTTTTCCCAGTTCTTTATCTTTCTAACATGAAGGTCATTCTCTGCAACAGTCAGTTACATGCGTCTTCTGCCAAAACAAAAGTCTTTGCTCTTCACTGCCATTAAGAGCCATAATGCCAGTCTAAAAATGAAACAGCAAATCTCTTGAAACAATTTCATCTTATAAATCTGCCAGACACTAGAGCTGTCATGAGGAGGACAAGCTGACAGTAAATGAGTATTGATTTTTCCTCTCGTACTGTGCAGCTGGTTTCTGGCTGAGTGAATTTACTCTTACAGAGTTGTCAGAGGGTGGGCTGCTTAATGGAGTGTTATCAATTCACAGGGAGTTTGAGTGCCGTCTGTTGGTGTGCTTACATGATGAATTGGCTGCTAGGTTTTAGTTGTGATGTGGGAGAAAGGCATGCAGATTCAAAAGGAAATGCAGAGGTTGCTAGAGGACAGACAGCGGCAGTGTGTGTTCAAAAGATGTATGAATTGTTTAAGATCACAGATTTTTCATGGTGAAGTGATACTTCAGATTAATAGGATGTGAAGTGCCAGCGCATTAATAGTGCTGCCATCTTAAATAGGTGCTGTTCTCAAACATGATTGTACACAACTCTTAGCAAAAGCAAAATAATAATTACGGGCAGCACAGTGGCGCGGTGGTTAGCGCTGTTACCTGACAGCAAGAAGGTTCAAAGTTTGAGCCTTTCTGTGCAGTGCCTTCGTGGGTTCTCTCCAGGTGCTCCAGCTTCCTCCCACAGTCCAAAGACATGCAGCTTAGGTTGATTGGAGACTAAAATTGGGGAGGTGACGTTTCCCAACCAGAAGGTTGAAGGTTTGAATCTCGGTGCCTGCAGTCCATGCATTGAAGTGTCCTTGGGTAAGACACTGAACCCCCCATTGCCCCCGATGGTTAGAGCCATCGGTTGTGTTGGCGCCGCAGATGGCTGCTTCCTGGGGCAGGTTGAACTTCCTGAGCTGGCACAGGAAGTATAGCTGTTGGAAACCAAAACGGTGATAAAAAGGAACAGTGACTAATTCATGTTTGCTATATCAGTAAATAGAATATGATAGGGAAGGTGCTGCTTAGACAGGTTTAGCTTTGTTGAAGGAAACTATTGCTGGCCTCTGCAGGGCGGTGTTCTAGCCATTGAGAGCAAGTTGGGGTTCAGCGTCTTGCTCAAGGACACTTCGACATGTGGACTGGGGAGAACAGGAACTGAACTCCCAACCTTTTTGTTTGCATGGTTGCTCTACCTCCTGAGCCACAGCCATCCTGCTATTTTGTCAAGTATCAGCAGTACAGTCTTGTTAGTTTTAAACCCAAGCATCATTATCAGATTAACCCCACAACTTATCAGATTTCAGCTCACATTTCTGGCAAATGATGCTCAAGGCCTACTTCATCAAATAGAATCTCTCTGGGGCCATGCCTTAATTTGTAATGCTAATGCCTGTGCTGATGAATCTTTACCACTGTCTGTCTTAACTTCAGTGCTGCTGTTGGGCATCTTCCTCTACACTCGCTGGAGGAGCTACAAAGGGCTAAAGGAGGGCGTTTACCACGTCTCAGCCCACCATGAAGGGTGGGAGGACATCCGCGAGAACGTCCTCAACTATGATGAGGAGGGAGGCGGGGAGGAGGACCAGGTTCACCACACACACACACACACACACACACACACACACACACACACACACACACACCTACTCTACCCTATCCCGTGTGGTAAAGCCAATAGCTCTTGCATGCTGCACTCACCTTTACATAAACAAATCTCAGAAACACATTAAGTATAGCAAGTATACACTGCTATTGTACAGTTCTGTACTGTGAACTGTTACACCTCACCTACACATTTTTTAACATCTTGACCACTTTTATTTTGAAAATACTTGGATGCAAGGTAGCAGTTTTGGAATGGGTTCAGTTGAGTTGGAATAAAGTCCTCCACAGTCTGTGTGTGAATGCGTGTGTGGCCTGGTATTACTCATGTTGTGGGGACTCGACGTTCTACTGGGGATAAAAAGCAAATCCCCAACACATAAATCATTACATTTTAGAGTGGTGTCTTGGTTTAAGGGTAGGGAGAGGTTAAGGATAGCAAAGTAGTGGTTATGGTTAAGGTTAGGGTCAGTCTCCAGGAAATTAATGTAAATCAATCTGAAGTGATGGAAACACAATGTGTGTGTGCGCACGCAATGGCATTTTACTTAGGCCCACACGAAATCCTTATCTCCTCTCTCCAACAGCCACTGTAACCCACAAGCACTCAACAGTACTTATGAGCTTGCATAATATCATGGCTTTGATTGCACCAAACATGTGGCTGCTGTGTCACTAACACACACACCCACACACACACACTCAGAGAGTAGGAAAAGACTTCCATACACAGATTGTTGTCACACCTTGTCAGTACCCAAAAGTCCTCAAGGTTATACTTAAAATTTTCAGCAGTCAAGCACATACAAAGCACACACACACACACACACACACACACACACACACACACAATCCTGATCCTGATCCCATACAACAGAACAGATGCTGCAGTTAATTCTCAAGAGTCTTGTTTGAAAGCTCTCTTGAGGAATAAAAACAGCGCTTTCCACTCATCACATAATCAGTTTTACAAACCAGCCCACACCTCCTCCGTGGGTATCATTTCTTCCTCCTTCAACATCCCTCCTTTTTGTTAATCCCCAGTGGCATGGTTACAGTTTTGGTGGAATCATAATAGCACTGAAGAGATTGACTGTTACAGTATATATAAAAGTAATGACAGCTCATAAATGCCAATTCACTAGTGCGTATTAGAGAAGGATAGAAGCAGAGATGCCCTTTATCTCCTTTCTGAATCACCTCCTGTCATATTTAACCTTCTTGGCCTCTCTCTCTCACTCTTTTGCTCTCTCTATCTCTATTTCTCTCTCTCACACACACAGAGATACTCAAAATTATAGTGATTTCTTTGAGACAGTAAATGGAAACAGATTGGAAACTTAAATAGGCGGAACATTCACAGTAAATGCAATAGGGAGAGTTGATTGTTTTTCTGCTCTCTTTTCATTTTTCTGCTCCCTCACTGCCATATTTCATTTTTTCTGCTTCATCTCTCTCCTCACTTCTTCTTTCTCCTCATATATCACTTTTTCTCTTTGTACAGTTTCTGTGCTAACTGAGACTTTTCCTTTTCTTATGTGTGTGTCCAGAATGCCTATGACATGGCAGAACTGCAGAAGTCCCTCCAGCCAAGTCCGGCCCAGTCGGTCCAGTACTGCCGCTCCAGGGCCCTGCACCACCCTCCTCCTCCTCCTCCCCCTCACCACCACCATCATCACTTGCTCCATCAGGCGACCCCCACCTCGCCCTCCACCACACAGACACTGGACTCCCTTAGCCAGACAGCCAGCTCCATCACCCTGCCTCCCTCAGCATCTTCCACTGCCACCACCACTACCAGCCTCCGCAGGGACGTCCCACCCACCAGACTCCCAGCCCAGGGCCAGGCCCGACCCTCCCAGTTAGTGCGCCGCTCCTTGTCCTTCTCCAGCCAGGACCTTGCCCGCTACCTGTGTGAAATAATTCGCGATGCCGACCAGCATCCAGACACGGGGCCTTTCGACTCCCTACAGGTCTTCTCCACCGAGGGTGGAGGCTCACCTGCTGGGTCCCTCAGTTCCTTCAGCTCGGCAGGGCTGGAAGGGGGGAGTGGTGGAGATGGGGCAGAGGGAGGGGAGGGGAGGAGGGAGGAGACGCTCGGAGAGTGGGGGACTCGCTTTGAGAAGAGCAAGCCGAGGCCAGCGACCTCTGAGTTCAGACACACAGACCAAAACTGATAGGTCCCTGAAAATGTGCCCACCCAAAACAATCAATTAGCAGACGCTGATGAGCGAAAGAGATGGGAAAACAGTGAGAGACTGATTGTCAAAGAGACTTGCTCCACATCCTGCACTTGCTGACAACTGATAGCGAAGGTGCTGTATTTACTGGATGATGAGCCCCATCAATCAGCATGGTGGCCTAACAGGCAGGTGAAAGTGTCTCTGAGCTCCCTCTACCATGGATTACAATTCTGCAGGGACAGACGTTATCAAACCTGCCAGTCAGGTGAAAGGCTTCAGAACATTACTCTCTACCCTGGCTGCTCATCATGATGGAGCTTAGCTTCACTGTCGGAAAAATCTGTTCCAGTCACAGCCCCTAAAACCCCCAAGTTTCCTCTATTTTATAACACTCATTGTGAGCTGTTCTGAATGAGTGCCAGCTGAAAATGTGAAAATGAAATGTTTTGGTCAGTTTCTTATACCTGAACAAAACAATACCAGATAAAATGTATTTTTAGGACCTTGTTGCTTAATGGAATCTTTGTAAATAAGCAAAGGAGTCAGACATACAGTATATTCCACACTGCTGTTACATGATAAGACAGTGAAGTTGAGTGGGATCATACTGAGTAGCCCGTATAATACAGAGTTTGGATTTTCACTATGTAGTGGCCACAGTGTTCTCGCTGCCTGGCTGTACACAGCTTCTGTCAGTGTTTGTATGAGAAAAAAAAAATGCTTTGACCATCACTGGGTTGCAAGGTGAGACTTTTTTTTTCTGGTAATGTGTCTTTTGCTGGGTTGAGTAATTCTGTATTGGCTGGGTGTTTCAAGTTTCATTGCTCCGTGGGTTGTAAGACATCAAGCTTTCTACTTACTACTACAGCCTCGTCTTCATTTGATTTCCTATTCTCATTCATGCTCCTCCGCTGCTCGTTCTGCCTCACCCAAGGGAGGGTGCCCACAAATTCAAACAGCTTTGCAACATAGAAATGGGAGCGGACGTGTGGACGGTGGGAGGGAGGAAATACTTGCTCTGTTGCTCTGTTCCATGTATGCCCTTCCTGAGGCATACCAAATGAGACTATTTTAGCCAACGATTGCTCTGCAGAATACAAACTATGTCAATTGGATTTCCAAGGTGACTACTCAATAAAAACAAAAGCAGCAAGGAGGATCAAAGAAATTTATATTGATTATACATGTAGTGTTTGAGGTGTGGTACCTGTGCTGTATGCTGGGCAGTTCACACATCCATTGTCCCTTGCTAAATTACCACATGCTCTTTGCTGAAACTGTGCTCTAACTGTGATTGTGGGATGACCAGAACTTGCAGGGAAACAATAACTCTGTATTTGTAATCCAAGTTACGTACCAATTTTAAGCACAGTGGTAAGTGGTCCTCTTGTTTGGTTCCGTATGAAATCAGATTGATGGATCCCCCCAGTCATTCAACTCTATATAAATAAATAAGAAATATTTCCTTCCTGCTATTATGGAACCAGTGAGAGCAATTAAGTCAAAAAAGACAAATAACAGTAATGAATCAGTGAAGGGGAAGAGGAGTGCAGAATGTGAAAAGGACCCATTCTTTAGATGACTACAGGATAGAAGGCTCAATGAGAGCACAAACAAAGAAGGGAGACAGACAGGCCCCATCTTAAGAAGTGCCTGATACTGAGATGAACTGCGCCACCAGTGCACCATGGAGCTGAGCAGCTCTGTAGAGAGCTGTAGGGAGGGGGCAGAGATGCTCAGAGAAATTGGTTTCTGCGGAAATGGTTTGTTGCACAGCAAATGTCATAAATACATTAGTCACGTGTCCCCGCCCCCATCTCAATGCAGTTCTCTAAAAAGCAAACCTGGCATTTCAGGTGCTATTTTCTGCTGCAAGTAGCAGCAGTGCTCTCATAATGCTTTCTTTTTTATTTGTCTTCACACTGGCAGAGCCAAGCCTGTTGTCAGGGAACAGTTAAAGGGTGGGAGTGTGTGAAAACATGTCAGGCCACTAATCCTAATAGGAGCTGATGGCTTGCTGTCATACTGGAGAAAACCAATGGATTGTGGGTACTTTGAAAAAAATGTCAACAGAGGAGTTAATTCCCAGATTGCGGCTTCCTAGAAACATGCTATTTATTGAATATCTGAGACAACAATGTGGCTTTCAAAAGAAGAGATGAGGGTGCAGTACACTGCAGGATGAAGCCTGAAAGTAAGACACAGGCTTCTTTTCAGTTTTATAGAAAGTAGGGATTTCCTAGAGAGGGATGTTTGCTCCTTGTTCTTCTGTAGAGGGAGGCTGAGCCTGAGCCATGCGGAGTGGTGGATGATGAAGACGCACCGTGCTTCACTTCTCTGTCTGCAGCTGTAAAGAGCTGTGACCTACTCCCCACCACCATTCATTCGTACCATAAAATGGCTTCTTCACTTTTGTGTTCTGGGTGCAGACATGTTGTGATCAAAGTTAATGTTTTACCTCATTTGTAAATACAAAGATTAATTATTGCTTTTTGTCAAGAAAAGCACCATAGGGTCAAAATGTGCAGCTTCTGAGAAAAAAAAAATCTAATTTTATTTTACTTTTTTATCATGATGATAAGCTTTCATCAGTTATGTGTTTTGTATTTGCTTAGAATTTTTTTCCCCAATAAATTCATTTATTAACACCAGCGGCTGTGCTGAATCGTGACTCTCTGAAAAACAGAACTTGAAGAATTAAAAGAAATGGAAAACGAAGGTTTTGACCTTACACAGTGATAAACAAGGAAATGACATTGTTGGAAAAAATACTTTTATTGATCATACTTTCACTGAACATGGATGTGTCTAATATCTACCACTTGCACTGGAAAAGATTTCATTTACCTCACTTACATATCACTTCCACCAATACCTTGTTTGGCATAATAACATTTTTAACTGCAGAGTAAACATTTATTAGTTTGTTTGATTTCTGATATGAACAAATGTCCTGCAGTAAAAATCCCAGCTGTACAACATGGGTTTAGTGGATTCTTAGAAAAGGAAAGAGCAGAGCAAAATGGAGAAAATTGCCAAAGGCACTCACATACGTAATACAGTATTCCTTTTTCAAATACACCCACAAGTACTAGATATCTTCTGCTACTGACGGGCCACACTACTGGTCAGATGACACTGCACATCAAACGTACTTGAAGATGATTATGTTCAGGATCACAAGCTGATTTTCAGAAATGATGTGTCCTATAACCTCTAGAGTCCTGAGCTTTGGAAACCCAAGCTGTGCGGTCCTCATATGAGGACGCAGGGACTCTAGAGGTTAAGGTGCATTTATCTCAGTGCACACTTAAGAGTGGCCTCCAAGTTGGGCAATCGAAGCGTTCCAGTTACCTGCTCTATAAAAAGTGCCTGTCAAGTACCAATGTGTGTACAGTGTCTTGTGTTCCTTCTTCATGTTATTTAGACCCTTATACTCCATGCGACATTTCACAGTCATATATAATTTCAATGTAATTACATGGCACTAGCTCTGTAGGAAGCATCGAGGTGCTTCTAGAGAATGTCACATGCTTTGACACATGCAGCATAGCTGCAGTTCATTGTGGATAGAAATGATCTTACAGTAAAATTAACAATAAAATCTAAGTACATTTTTGTCCAGGTTTCAGCATCAACATGCCCCTAAACACTGATCAAAACCACATAAGGTGTGTAATGACTTTGGCAATGCAGAAGTTTATCAGCCTATAAGTACCAAGTATTGCTAGGATTCCCTCTCACTTTCTCTTCATCTGTATATATATATGAATACATACTGTAGGCATACTGTGGCTGTACTGGGCTACATTATATTCAGAGGTGTTCCTAATATTCTTGCCCCTCCTGCCATATCTATGAAACTAAAAGGTCATATGTGGTCACGACAGCCAGTTGTGGCAGTCAAGTAGTGCAGCAGTAATAACTGGCTCCAGAACTAATGTATATGGAGTATAGAGCCCACAGAGCCTGTGGTTTTCAGTGGCAGCGCAGTGCAATGTCAAAGAAAGAGGTTTACATTTTAGCAATATGGACACGAGAGAGTATAAGGATGCCACTCTGTCAATCAAGGTGTGAAGATAATTTATGACGGGGGTGGGTGGGGTAAGGCGGCGC